CGAAGTTGATTGCATTTTACAGTCTGTGTATTTCTCTGTTTATCGCTTGTATTCTGTCATTAAGCAAACAGGTTCCTAATACAGCAAATCTCTCTAATCAGTAAAGCAAGGGAGAAAAGAACCAGAAGCATCATTAATTATGACCATTTGGCCGCAGCCTGGACAGTCTGTTGCTATTGGATTGGGTAACTTCCTCTGGTTTTATTTTCTGGAGGTAGAGCAGAAATGGGCTCCCCTTATGCTTGGAGCAGAGTGGAGAAATGTTCCATGTCCTGCTGGCTGACTGCTGCATGAAAGCCCGAGATGAAGCCCCGATTTCTCTGCAGAAACTGAGTCCTGGGGCAGCAAAGGCCAGGTTCTGCCTCGCTGCGCTTTTAAGCCTCCGATTCCATAAACAGAGCAAGCGTGCTGCGTGAAAGCCTGCCTTGTCCCTGAGGCTCCAGGAGAGCCTGCTGTGGGCAGAGCTCCTGTGTCTGTGTGGTGGCCTGGGGCAGGTGGAGGGCACTGGATGGAGGCCTCCAGGCGAGGGGTGTGTCTGTGCCTTCTGAACAGGAAGCCTCCTGGCACCAGGGCTGACTTTCCAAATGCTAATCATTGGGGTAAAAAGCAGGAGCGTCATCAGTCTGACTCCAGGTAACAGAGGTTAACAGCATTTAATGCGTTTATTAACCCTCTGGTGCCAGGGACTGGCAAGGTCTGGCCCTACAATTATAATGCGGTGGAAATTCTATTACCCAATGTGCCTGGACTAGCAGATCACCGCCAGGGACAGTTTTACAACACTGCTGGAGGGACAAGTCTTAGGAGGTGCCTGAATACAAGTTCTCCAGTTTTCCAAAATGACAGCAAGGCTGCTCGGCTGGAAACGGGCTTCACCAGTCCCTTTCATCTCCCCATCCTCGAGTTGAAAGCCTTGTGGTCCCGTGGTTTGCTGGTGACATTTCCCCTCCATTCAGAGTCAGGTGGTTTCCCCAGTAACCACAGGACTATGAATTAGCCGCTAGGAAACACTCTATCCTCAAAGAGATTAAAGGATTCATTTTTCAACACATCATACCAGTGGTTAAAATGGACTTTTGGAAAATGAAATGCACTGTCTTCTTTATCTTCTTTATCCTTTTCTCGCTCTCTCTCTCTCTCTCTCTTTTTTTTTTTTTTAGGAGAGGTCATATTTTAAAGCCACACTGTAAGGTTTGGTGTCTAGATAGGTCCAGGCTGGCCACGCTCTGTGTTGGATCCCTGTGACTCCCGTTAATGAGCAGGACTGCTGGGCCCACAGACAGGACCTTGAGCTGGCTCTCCCATTACTCCACGCTTTGTTTTCTGGGGTGAGAGCTCAGCAGTAAGAAGTACACTTCTAGTTTCTTACAAGGTCTCGGAAGTTTTTTAACTATTTTTTTTTTTAACTTTCCTGGGACCATCCCCATTTTTATCACCTGTGAGATGATGTTTCAAGCGTGTAAGTACACTTCGCAGTAGTCAAAGGCAAGGCCCCCTTGTAATTCTGTTTGCATTTATCCTACCTGATTAGCAAGACCGCGATAGCTTGATGATGTGGCCAAAAATGCTCGGGATAAAAGCCCTTCAAATGTGGAAATAACAGGTTGCTCAGGCTTCTAAGATGAGCTCTAAGAGCCAGATTTCCTTAGTGGACTCTGAATCTGCATAGGACGTTTCTGACCCTCAGCGTTACCAGAGGGATTCCGACTGCATACAGGACTCACAAGCATGCGACCTAAAATCCCAGGCTCTGCCCCTCCGTGTGCAGCTGACAAACCCGTAGAGGTCCTAGATGCCCAGTGCAGCTACGCTCCTCCTGTACCCGGTGCTAGCCAGTCTCAGCAGCAGACCCACGGTTCTCGTCTTCTCATACGCACTGCAGGTTTGCTGGGGGGAAATCTCCTGTCTGTCCAGTCTTGTGATTCTTTTACCCAGAAGCCACCTGCTATTCCCATAACTGGTAACATTTGCCCGTCACCTTCTCATCAGATTGCCAGACCTCACTGTGGTCTCTGCAGAGTTCAGGTGGAATTCCAGGGCTTTCCATTCTGCCTCCGTGGTGCTGGGAGTTTCTACCCACGCCTCGCATTGGGACGCTGCGTTAACACACTGTGTAAGCAGGGCATTTAAAGGCCAGTGTGCATGCAAAGCTGAGCCTCTGGAGTGCTAAGGGCTTTGGTGGTTTGGGAAGGTGCTTAACAGGAGAGGAAGCATTTTCTCAGAGCCTCTATAGGGCCCCGGCGCACATTATTACCTTCGCTCTCTGCAGGTTATCCAGTTATGTCAACAAGAATGGTCCTCCAGGCAAGACAAGCTTAGAGATGCTGCCTCTAGTTTTAGTGAAGCCGATGGGGCTACAGGGAGACAAGACCTGGGGTTGACCATTTCCTGTAGATAGATAACAAGATGCCTGACTTGTGGGGGAAAGAGCTCAGAGACGTCCCAGACCTGGAGCTGTTTTAAATGTATTTTCCTGTGTGATGGAGCAGTAATCCCTGCTCTTTCCAGGTGGAAGGCGAGAGCCTGCACGCCTGTAAAGCACTAAGCAGTGTGAACCCTCGGTGACCAGTGAGGGTCAGAAATCTAGCTCTGCAGATCTAGAGTGCATTTCAGACAATCTATCAAGACAGAAGACTTCTTATCCATTGGTAGATGGATAATTGGTAGATTAATAATTTATAATTATTTAATATTGATGGGTATTGAACAAGTATTCAGCACATTCCTAAAGTGACTGAGTATAGCTGGTGAGTATCCTCGGATTGTGTACTTAGTGAGTAAAAACTACATACTGGTGCTATCATACAGAACAAAGTAGGAAAGAGGCCTCCCCGACCCTTAGAACTCAGAGGCCTGTGGTTTACAACACGGAGGCATAGTTTAGCTGTGATCACAAGCGCAGAAACAACTTGAAGGCATAATGTTTCTCAGACTAGAAGTCTGGCTGCTTTCTCTGCACATTTTAGTGAGCTTCTTAGTTATGCAAAGGCCCACAGCAAGGGTTTATGTCTTTTTTGTAGATTATGGTCTAGCAAAGGAAAAAGAGAATGGGATGTTTTAAGGCCATTTTGGTATCTGGGCACAATTCCAATCTTGAACAGAAATAAAACATGTAAAGTTCTGTACATTATTCTCTGCAGGTAACAATGCAAGGGACCAGATTTGCTATTACTATAGATTAAAAGGAGGCTTTTGGGAAGAGACTCCTCTTCCCATTCCTCCTCTGATCCTCTTACACATAACATTTTGTGACCTTTGAACAGCCTGGGGGTGCTTCACATTGTCTTACTCTCGATGCCTTTTTAAAGGTTTCTATTTCATATTCACAGCTGGCATATGCAAATATAGGTAAAGATTATGATGCCTCCCAAGTAGCATTATGGTCAATAAATTACTCCTTGGGTGAACATGCCATCAGCAGCCTAGCATGTCTCCAATGAGTTCCAGAAGTCTTCCTGCAACTGGCAGCCTGCCCACTGCTGTTCACGCAGAGCCAGGTGCCCAGACACTCCTTAAGGTGTGATGCTTGACCAGTATCATCCTGTTGGCACCAAAGACATCTGTCTTTGGTGCCAACAGACTCCTGTTTTGGGAGAAGGAGCTCATGGGGCAGGGTGGAGGGGCTCTTCATGTTGATTTGGGGGCAGTAGAGCATGAAGAACTGAGCATGCCAAGATTGCCTGGGAGAAATACTGTAATGGAGGAAAGAGCACATTTTCCTCTCAAGAGTTTTAGAGACCTGGTCTAGTTCCTGACTCTACCAGTAAATTGCTATGTGACCTTGGAGAAGTCACTCAACTTCACTGCACTCTGTTTTCCTTTACAAAACAAAAGGGCGATATTGGGTCAGCAGTTCTTACTGTAATTGTCTGAGTGATGGAAACTCTTCTTTAACTCAGTTCTCTGGGAGAAGCTCAGTGGGGACTAGTTCCGGTGTGAGGAGTTGGGGAGCTCACAGCCTTCACAGCTCAGTCCCCTGCCACTGCCCTGGAAGCAATTTTATCATTACTGGGTCGGGACCCATAGCACCCTGCACAGCTCCCCCAGGGGGATCTGTCTGTTAGAGTCCCTGCGCTGTGCCCACACTCTCAAGCCATGAGTGGTTTACTCAACTAGAGGTCAGCCCCATGAGCCCAGTGACTACATCCTTTGGCTCTGATCACCTGATGCCCAGCACTGGAAAATAGCTCTGTGCTTGTTGACTGAAGCAAAAATAAAACAAATGAACAAACGAGCTTCGGGAAGACCTATCTCTATATGACTAACAAACGCCGATTTTTATTGTGACATTTTTACCTCAAAGGAACATCCCCAGAATGAACATTCATAGGTATAAATGAGTTCTGAATGTGAATGACTTCAAAGCTTTGTCTTGGGGTGCCTGGTTGGCTCCATCGGTTAAGCGTCTGACTCTTGATTTTGGCTCAGGTCATGATTTCAAGGTCATGAGATTGAGTGCCATGTTGGGTTCTGTGCTGGGCATGGATCTCACTTAAAATCCTCTTTCTCCCTCTGCCTCTGTCCCTAGCCCATGCTCTCAACCCCCTCCCCTCCGCCCTCTAAAAAAACAAAAGCAAAAACAAAACTTTGTTTTTAGTAACCTAGTCTTGTGCTGCCCCTGCTAGCCACCAGCCACAGGTAGCTACTGAGCCTTTGAAATGGGGCAGGTCTGAAATAAGATGTGCAATGTCAAACACACCAGATTTTGAAGACTTAGTATGAAAAAAAAACATAAAGTATCTCATTAATAGCTTTTTATATTGATTACATGTTGAAAAGATAATATATTGGGTTAAATAAAATATGTCATCACAATTATCTTTACCTTTATCTCTTATGTGGTTACTAGAAAATTTAAGATTATATATGAGCTCATAATTATAGCTCACGTATTTCTACCAGTGGCCCTGCCCTAGACAACTGATTAGTGGATCATCGGTAACCATTATTCCATATGAAATGTGAGTGATTTTATGTGTGTATGTGTTTGTCTTTCCCAGGCCCAGAAGCTGAAATCCAATATGTCGGGCAGTACACACCTCTGTCTTTCTGATGTAAGTTATGTTTCTCTCTGGGTCTCCCTGCATTTCTAGACATAGAACATTGGGTCCATGGTGAAGATGGAAAGGTTCAAGGACAATGAGGTTTCAGGTCTAGGAAAAAGATCTAAGGCACCCTCCATGTCCCTCTGCCCTTTGAGCCAAGTGAGGTCTTTGGATCCCAGGGCACAAAGTTCCAACTACGTATGGGACCCAGGATCCTCATCCCGAGCTAGAGTCAGCACAAATACCATTGTTTCAATGCCGGAGATTGTGTTACCATAGTCTTGTAGAATCAGCCCTCACAGAGAAGACACTCAGAAACTCTCACTGCTTACCAGAGGTCCTCTGTCTACAGTTCCTTTGACCTCTGCAGCAACCCCGAGGTAGCTAGGGCAGGCCACATTGCTCTTCCCATTGTACAGAGGAGATGACTGATGCTGTCACGTGCCAGTCATTGTGGTGGGATGCAGCATTATGGGACTGAGTGGATGCTGTGGTGGGGACGGAGGCAACCATCTTAGGGAAGGAGAGCTGTGCCAACTGGGAGTCCGAAAGCCAGGGTTCCGGTGTGGGCTGTCCCAATGATGTGAGGGGCAGGCGCCTTCATCTAGAAAATCTGGGTTTGAAAGGGCAAATGGAGAGAAAAGGTGTAGACAGCCCTGCCTATCTCAGTGCGATTTGCGGTCCATCTCCATGTGAACTGACACTTGCCTGTACCAGTTTTCTGAGATGATTTTTCCTGCCTTTCCTCCGGGACGGGGAGGGACAACAAGCTTCCTCCTCAGTCAGTACCAGAAGAAGCATTCCACGTTCCCCTAGCTACGGGGAGATCCAGAAGGTAGGAGTGAAGGAAGACGCAAAGCTGTCCCACAAATGGATTTCAGTAAAATTCATAGTGGAGGAGCAAGTAGCAAGCGTTGGCCAGTTTATCATAAACTCTGTAAGTCTGTATATCCAGTTCTCAACCAGATTCATGATTCTTTTTTGTAAAACTACAAGTCAGGGAATTGAAGTCTCCATGGTCTTATCTTAGGTCAGCTTGGGTGAGTGCTACAGCTAGTTGGGAGTTGTAGGTGGGAGAGAGGAAGAGTGTGGCTAAAATATACTGGGATAGGGGGAATACATGCAGTGGGTGACAATGAAAATATTCTCTCTTACAGCGTGATTACGAAAAGAATGGTCTCACTGGTCCTTCCAGCCACATAACCACAAAATCAATGGTTGCTCCTCTAAGCTGCGGTCTGAGCCCCCTGCTGGTTCTGGTGGTCACCACCCTGTCCACCTTATTATCTTCATCTTTGGCAGAAACATCATAGCTGCATTTAAACAACAATACGGACATGTAAAAAGACAAAAACCAAGCTGTTTCCTGTCCTCTTGTGTATCTGAAATTCCAGTTTTAGGAGCCCAGTTGAGATACTGAGAAACAGTTTCATCCAACTGGAACTTTATATTTTGTTTCTTCTTCTTCTTTTTTTTTTTCTTGTTTTTGTTTTTGTTTTTTGTTTTTAAGAAATCTTCTTGTGATCCTTAGGGCTTCTGTGGGCTACCCAATACAGCGCTACATTCCATACTGAAAAGGCTTTGGGGCCTGCTGTGTTGTCGAGGGGCAGTGCGTGAATTTGGCTATAAAACCAACTGGGCCCATGTTCGACGTGATGATGATGATTGGGGATGATTTTAACAATTTAATTCTGGCCTTTCCTAGCAAGAGAAGGACTTAGTATTTCTAAAAAATCTTCCATATCTCCTATAATGGCTTTGGTTTCTGATGACATCACTTTAGCCTCCCACGGGTGGGTGCAAGCTTATTTTGTCACAAAGCAAAGATTCTCATCCAGAGGATCTTGATGGACTTCGTGCAAACAAGCTTGCGCCAGTGTTCCCCTTTCTGTACGTACTGGCATTTTCCACACTGTTTGTGTACTGTGAAGAGTTCTACGCTCTCCTACCAAACAAAAGACACCTGTCTCATCCAGATGTAGTGTCTATCTTCTAGTCAGAATAGAGGGGTGAGTGTGAGTGAAACTTCACAGTACCTTGATCACTGAAAGACCTAAGCCTTACCTGAGGGAGAAGCCCTTTCACTAACAAGAGTCAAATATAGCTGACATGTCATTCTAATACTCTTTACATGTATGAGGTTATATGTAGAAAAAAATTTTACTACTAAATGATTTCAACTATTGGCTTTCTATATTTTGAAAGTAATGATATTGTCTTCATTTTTTTACTGATGATTTAATACAAAATACATGGAGCTCGTTTTCCTCTCCTAAATAGTGTTAGCTCCAATATTAACTTCACGAAGACAGCTTTTCAGAAGCAGACCCTGAGGAGCCTCGTGCTTTAGCAGAAAGCTCTGCATCATGTAACTGTGGACAGGCAGGAGGAAACAGAGCAGCCAAGTGTTGTCTTTTGTCATTTCTCGAAACACAAACTTGCATACCTGTGAGGAAACTGGCGGCCCCTTGTAAATGTGCTGCAGCGGCCAATGGCATGCGTGCCGGTTGACATAATCCAGGACCTCAGCTTCCATGTTACTTGACACAGGCCAGTTTGACTAGGCTGGGGGACAGGAACATGCCACCCTCTCTTCCGAAGCTGATCCATGCCAGGGTACGCAGTTGTTTTCCTAAGGGTTGTACTCAGTGGTGATGACCTGGCCACTGTTGAGAGGGATTTAGTCCGGAGGTCATCAGGAATCAACTCGCTTCTTGTTATGCGTCCTCCATGACAGACGGGGACTGACTGTGTGGAAAGAAAGGCTTGTGGATCAAGAAGAACAACAATAGGTGTGTAGAGATGAGTTGGCCAGCAAAAGATACGCGGACCGGAACAGGACTCTGGAAACAAGGCGTGTGACTTGTTCTCCGCACATCGCCTTCCATCATTCTCCATCCTTAAACAAGTAGACCTTGAAGTGCGCTTTTGAAGTCTGGTTGATGGTGACATTCAGAATCTACAGTGATCGAGCGCTAGGAGCCAGGCTTCTCCAACACTGAATAGATAAGAGGAGTATCCACCAACTGGAGTGCTGGGAGCATTACTTCTCCACACATCAGTAGAGGGGCTGGAGGAGGACCCAAGGTGCACAGTTCATACTGATCCCCTTTGCCCGCTGATGTTTGCCTTGTAAGAATTAATCAAATCACTGGGGTGGGAAATCTATTCAATCCAAGATAAAGGCATAGTCTTTTAGCTCTGTTGGTGTTTGAAGTACATTTATATCCAAATGTTAATAAACATAAATGTATAATACTAAGTTCCGTGTTTTTTCAGTTCAAAATGTTTCCAAGGAAAATTCATCAAACAGATTTGATTAGTAAAAGGTTTCATGAAGACTCTTTCTTTGAATAAACAATGTTAAATGTGTCGGAACATTTGGAATTCCGGTCCTCTATGAAAGCCTATCTCTTACAGAGCGTATTTTGTTTTAATTAAGGTATCTCTGTGTATCTACACTAGACTAATTGCATATGGGTCTGATTCTATGTGATCTACTGTAGAAAGCTATTGATTCCTTCTGCGGTAAGCAGCGGTTGTAATTAGCTTCAGATGACCAGAGAGGAAATAGGAGTTATCAGAGCTAACAAGGGTGGCCTTCAGTGACGAACACAGGGATGTGCAACCCATAAATTAAATTTGGGAAAGCCTCATCGATCACCAACAAAGATCTCTTTTTTCTTCTCAGAAAGAAGCATATTAGAGTTACCAAATTCTAAATTTGAAAATAAATTGCTGATGAAATAAACAGGGGGAAATATTGTTCGATGACAACACATTAGAGAGATTCTTATAAATTCATGCCAAGCGGGTGTTTCTGCCATTCAGCATGATTCCCAGTTTAACACAGTGGACCCGAAACACCATCATCGCTTGCCATGAGACTAAAGCAGGCAAGTGACTTAAATCTTTGACTTCCGTGTGTGGCAATACTGACATTAAAAAGCATTACTTCCTGTCCCTCAGTCCCTGCATTTGGGGTATCACCAGATGCAAGGGCATCTTTCTGCAGAAAGCGTCTCATTGTAGCTGATTTTGACAACACAGAAACAGTAGGTGCTAGTAGGTCTTAGGTCCACGTAGACCATGGTCAAGACTTGACCATAGGTTAAGTCTAGCCGTGCCCTGCTGCTTATTGAGAGAATGAAAAAAAAGGCACTACTGCCAAACTGATTGGAAGCACATTCATTCCAAGTTGGTGTTGAGTATCTTTAACCAATATCAGTTTGAATATCTTTTGAATAGAGCACATGAAGGAAGAAGTGCACAATACAGAGAAGGATTCAGAATGCCCCTTCCATGTTTATTTTCCCATATCAAAATTTTTTCAAGCCCCTAGAGTATGAGTTAAGAATTACACAGATTATTTTTTATTAAGTATAGTGAACTGTATCCAGACTCTAATAGGAGTGTGGTTTTCATTAAAAAATATATGTATTTAATAATTCTTTATCTTATAGTAAAAAATGTCTTGGAAGCAATCCTCGAGTTAATCGAATATGGGACAGGGTTTCTCTAGAGCTGCTGTGGCCTTGAATTTGGTCTCTGTGAAGACTGTTGGTATCGTCCATACGCTCCGAGGATGGGTCCTCTCCAACAGCATCCTGTCGCCCATTTGTCCCTTTGTACTCCATCTAAAGTTGACACTCCCAAACACTCCATCTGCTGAACTGGGAAGGGAGGAGAGGGGAAGCATTTTTGAGTCAGTGTTAAGTGCTTATTGGGAAAAGAGATGTAAAGGCAGTGGGAGTTTGTATAATTAGCAAATTCTTTTCTTAGAATCTAGCAAAAATGTTTTTCTGTTGTCACTATTTACAAAACAGTGGCCTTGGAGGAGCTATTGTTTGGAAAATTAGTTTTCATTCATGCAGTCCGACATGCGTGACTTATTTTAGTCAATAAACTGTAGACCAGAAAAGGGCTGCTTAAATGCACTCGCATTTTCTATTTCCCTTTCAACGCTGTTCTTGATCTCCTGGATTCATATCCCTGTGATCTTTGTTGCTTCTGTTCTTTGATTAAGCAAATGAGACTATGGGGGACCAACATTTCCGAGAAAGACCAAAAAGCAATGGCAACAGATGGGCGTGAGTTACCAAGGGGCTGGGAACAGGGAGGACAGAAGGACCCATCTGCCCTGAACTCAGGAAGTTGGGAGAGATGAAGAGCAAAATCAAGGCGCGGCAGACGGCCAGGCACCATGGGTGTAAGTGTCGTGCGGTCCCCTGGTGTTCCTTTCTGATCCAAATAGGAGCTTCGTCCTCACAAGAATAGCCGGAGTCCCTTGAATTAGACAGCCGTGCCTTTGTGGAAAGCAAGCCGGAGCTGATATCTGGACGACATGGGAAGACATTTCCTTTTAGAAATTCTAAAACTGTAAAACGACCGAGGATTCATTCGGAAACCCTTAGCAGCTACGTTTTCCTCTTATCCCTAAGAGAGGCATCTCATGTACTTATCTGACACTTCCTGACTTTGACCCGACTCTTCTTCTCGAGTGACCATTTGTTCTGAATCTCTTGTCTAGAATTCTCCTTGAGGACTCTACATCAGAACACGTTCTCCTGGCAGAGGCTTTCAATCTGTGGTTTTGCCACTGCCTCCATCCTGGGCTGTGCTTGTCTGGGGGGCCATTTCATTTCACAAGGAGAGTTGTCTTGAGATGATGGGCCGACTCTGATCCCTTTCACGTCGATTATGGGTGCCCCAGTGCCCATTCCTGTCCTTTATCACTTAACTGTTTCACAGGGTCCCCTCTGGTCGATTTTTCATCCGAATCATTTTAAATGTAGTCCTGCCCAGATTCACTCTTCTTCTGCCAGATGCCCACTGTACACGGAACCCTGGCTTTTTGAAGACAGACAAGCTTCTCTCAGGAGTCAGGCAATCTGAGGGTGATGTTAATCCCCCAAGCAGGAAGCTCCCCCATCCAGCCCTCCCCTCTTCCGAGCTTCCTCTCCTTAGCTGTGGGATGGTCTTGTCTGCTCATCCTCACCAGGCATCCCTTGGTTGCTCCCAGTGCTCTCTGATGTGCTCTTTCCTCCCTGCTCCTGGAGACAGCCTGGGGTGGTTCAGCGGGAAGCATCACCTGCGCTTCTGAGTGCTCTGCGATCCAGCCCAGAGGGGTGGGGAGGCGCACAAATCCTGTTTCAATAAACTGCCTGCAGAGAAGCACAGCCCGTTACCAGTCATTGAGGTCCTCACCCCCTGAGGTCTCCAAGCTCATTCGACCAGCGCAGCTGCGACTTGGGCTGTCTGCCCCTGGCAGGTGCCAGTATCAGCGTCTTGTCTCCCTGCCATCAGGAGTTTATTTTTGCTCCCGGGCAGCTGCCAAACCCAGCACCAGTGTCAATAAAAGGTTTTTTCGGATTTTCTTCTCTTCATCCCAGCCTGGGTTTTCTTACCATTCCCCACTTCCGTTTCATAAAGAATACCAAGATTCTGGCCAGACACCATCAGCCCCTTCTTCCGTCTGAACGTCTCTTCCTGGAGCTCCCCCCAGATTGCCCTGAGAGGAAGCATGCCTCACGGTAGGTACTTAAACAACGTTGGGTGAATGAAAATTTTGGGGGCATCGAAAGGCTTCATTCTGTAACACGGTAGCAAGAACTGGTCCGCCGGCCTTGTCTCGCCAGCGGTGAGCTCTCGGACACGACAGCAAAGGCTATTGAGGCTGACTGGAAGGAAGTGTCGAACACAGTATTAGAATCAAAGCAGCTTTAAATCTGCTGACCGTGTTTCCTGCTGAGAGATGAAAAATGAGCGTTCGTCCCTAGGACGAGCTGAGCAGGACCAGCCAGTCCCAGAAAGGACAGGACCCCAAATGGGGTGAACTGATTTCATGGGAAATTAGCCCTTGAGTCTGCTGATATTTCAATCTGCATCAAGTGCAGGATGCTGGCTGGAAAGGTGGACCGCTCCACCAAGCCCGGACCAAGCCCGGTCCTGTGCCAGCATCCTGAGAAGCAAAGAGGTGGTCTTCAATCACGGCATCTATGGACCATCTGCTCTAGAACAGTGAACCCTCCTTCAGGACCGAAACTCCTCCAAGAGAGTAACTTGAGAGGACAAGGCCGTCTGACAGCGGCCTGCGGAATCACCCATCTTTTCTGGATGGCAGAATCCTTCATTTTAACATCCTTCAGAGAATCTAAATTCTCATTGTAGGTCGTACAAGAAGCCGCCTTCCAGACTCGGTCCTTAAGAAGTAGCAAGTAGCTCAAGTAACATGGAGAAGGGGGACAGACTGCCACGGGGAACCAAGTGGGGTCACCCTTGGAGGCCTCAGAGGGCCGTGAGCATGGCCAGGTGGCCATGTCCGTGGCACTGGCCCAGCTGTCAGGCACCAGCAGCAGTGCTGGTGGGAACAGGAGACATCAGAGCTGCTCTAGCGCAGGAAAGCAGGTAGAGCAGTGTTTGTTCAAACAGCAAAACTTTGAAAATACGCAAAGACCCTTGGTGGCAGCAAATATAACCCAGATTACAAGACTAGAGTAAAGTAGGATAAAGAATTGGAACACCCAGGCGATGCCGTGGGTAGAAGAAACGCAAGGCTCTTTTGAGTGGATAAAGGTCTGTCACCTGTCACTGGAGCCCGGCAGGACATCTGACACTTATGTCTCCATCACAAAAGCTCCCTTTCTCTCTCCGTGTCACAACTTCCGCAGGGCTGCGGGATCCGCCATTGTCTTCCTGGTATGCAGAGCGTGCTTGATCTGGAATCTGTCTTTTTATTTTTTAGCTTTAGCCGAAAGCATTTCTGAAATGCGGGAAAGAGAGAGAACGGGAACTGGAGAACCCACTCACCGATGGCCCTGCCTTATGTGGCTGCGGTCTTCTCGTAATGAGACTTTTCTAGATTCAGAAATAGCTGATTGTCCTCAGAGGGTTGAAGAAATGGTTTCAGAAGCCTGAAATCCAGGGCCTTATATTTCTTCTAATTATCTCTCTTTTCTCTCTCTTTCTCCCCCAAGGGAGGAGGGGGAATGCATTTCACCACAGAGTTTTCTTTAAAGAGTTTTCTGTTCTCCTGTGCGCCATCCCTTAGATATTGAAATTATTTTCTCTTGTTTAATCCGCCTCCCGTGGAGAAGCTGTGTGAGATTCGGGGTGTGGGCTTTCAAGTTTATTCTTTTAGATGGTGTTGCATTTTTACTCCTAACCACAGGGTATGTCTCAGCTTCTGTTCCTTCTGTTTCATGTAGGTTAGCCAGCCATGAGGATTTGGGTTTTTAGGATGGTTTTAGACTTCTGTCAGACACCCAGCCTCGTCAGAGCTGGGGTCAGGGCTGTAGTGAGCTTTGCGGAAGCCTCCAGTTAGGAGAGGATCCAGATGAGTGACTTCCCTCCTGGTCTCCATTTGCCATCGTGTGTTTCCTGAGTTTCCCACTTGTACCAGACAACATGTGTATCTCATCGCCGTGTGTCTCTGCTTTCCTGCGGCACCTGTGCGTTCACCGGGGCCATCCCTACACGGCTTCCTCACACCGCTGTCTGCAGCGTCCTTTGCCACCAACACCCATGGAACAACATCTACATAGAGAAGTACAAGTTTTGCTCTTTGGACTTTGGAAGTGGTTTTGTGATGTTTGGATTTTCTGTTAACATATTGCTCGAGCACTACAGAATGTACGTATGTAATCTGTTCAGGGGTCCTCCACCCCAGGATACCCTAATAAACATTGTTTTCTTTTTTAAAAAAACAAAACTACAGTGGTAGTGTCTTTTTCTTTTACCCTAATTCATTGGAAATTGATCTTGAAGTCTGCAGATGCTTGGAGATCCCCAGTATTAAGATACGGGGGCTTTCTGACAGCAGAGGAGATAAGATTCCGGAGGACCAAATGTGGTTGATGCTTCTAGATACTTCTAGATGATTCTTTGTCTTGAAGGTAGGAAGGGATGGTCTGGTCCTGTCCATTGTGGGATGTTTAACAACCCTGGCCCCGTCCCACTAGACGACAGTAGCAACCACCCCCCAATATGCTGTCAGCCCCCTGGGAGGGGCTAGCAAAACAGCCCTGATTGAGAGCCACTGGTTTAAACCCAACCAAATAGCTCCCATATGCATGCCAAAAGGAACCAGGGTCTGTGGAGGGCCACACCAGATATTTTTTTCATGTCTTCAACATACAATTCTGTAATTAGAGGGTAGGACTAGTGAATTCTTTAGATACTATCATAAATGTTGAATTATTTGTGTAAACTTACAAATAGTATCTGGATAAAAAGTAAAGACAGAATAGGTCATTTTCCCAATTTCCAGGCTATAGCCCAGTGCCTGGCAAGGAAAAGTTACTTTACACTGCATGAGGCTGTGTTTGATACGTGGGCATTAGCATCAGGGTCCTGACTGCTCAAAATAGGACTCCCCGGGAGGTTGTAATCTCTGGCACCTTATCACTACCGGGAGTTTTAA